ATCATAGGGCCTGACTGGTCTCGGCCCACCCAGGCTTCAGTGCCCCCACCCTGGCCCACATCCCCCTTCAACCTGCAGACAGTGGGAGCTCCAACATCCAGAAAGGCCCAGTCCCCATGAGAGGACTGTGGTCCCCAAAGCAGGGCAGGCATGCGACAGGAAGGCTGAAGGGTGGTGGTCAGGCTGGGGCGTGGCCATCATCCCCAAGCCCCCCCACAAGTCCTCTCTCCCAGGAACCCCTGGCCTCAGTCCCCTCTGCTCTCTCAGGGGCAGGCGTTTCCAGGACAGGGCACCTGCTTCCCCGGGTTTCTCTCAAATCCAGAGCAGTCATGGCGGAGATCACAAAGGCTCTGCCTGTGACTTGGACCCCAGAGGACAACTGAGCCCCCGTTGTGTGACTCCTGTCCCCTCCCTGCCCAGCCCATAGGAGCTCCCCAGACACCACATTCAGGGCCGTGCTCCTGGTCTGCCCAGGGCTCACAGAGAAACGGCTGGACAATGCCAATGCCATGACCCTGGACCCAGGCCACAGCCGCTACCTCGGCACCGAACCACAGCTGGCCGGCGAGGTTGTCGTGCCGGATCTCCTCGGGGAACTTGACGCAGAAGTCCCTTGGGGCACGGTCCTGGGGGATGCACACGTCCATGATCTGGTTAATGATGTTTAACACGTTATCCTGAAACGGGGAAAGATGCGAGGGTGTCCAGAGGTAGGCTGGCAACTGGGAAAATAGCACCTATTATGAAAGTGATACAGTAGCATTTCCATGCTGGCCATACAATTGCTACAAAAAGCTCAAACATTTCGAAGTAAAGAGTAACATCTAGAGTAAAGAGTGAAAGTCCTGCCTCCCCCTCCCCCTCCCCCACGACCCGCTCCTCACGCCCACAGAAGTTACATATATTTACCTAGAGCGCCTACTCAGCTCACTGGACGATGCTGGGAGCTTCTCACGTCACCACGTGAAGCTCACGCTGCCCTTTGTAATGGCTGTACCATGTGCCTAATGCCCCGCTGACCCACACCGGGCTCCCGGCAGCCTTGGCCGCGATAACGGACCCTGACCCTCTCTGGATGCCTGTGCACAGTTTCGTAGGGCAGAGCTTCAGACATGGAACGACTCGGTGGACAGGTCCATCACACGTGGATTTGCTCCACCGACTCACTGTGCTCCTTTTATGAACACTGTCAGCCTGTGTCATCCTGGGCATGTTCACAGCACAGGCAGACAGATCTGCTGTTGGAGTAACAGCAGTAAAAGTCGCTATGTAAAACCAGCCTCTCAAACCTGCCCACAGAGTAGACTCCAAGGCCTGAATCGTGGGGCCAGGGGCTCAGGCAGACTTTCAGGGAGCTGGGCATCTGGGCAAAGCCGTCATCCTGTCTGATCTTCAGTTTACTCCTCTGTGGAGGGAGCAGGCCAAGTACAGCCGGTCCCCTGCTTCTTCATCTGGACATGTCTGCCCAGCCCCTCTGGAAACAGCAGATGGACAGCAGCAGCAGCAGCAGCAGCAGCGTGTAAATGGGCCAGCAGCTTCCCTCGGGGTGCATATACTAACTCCACCCCTCACGCTGTGCAACCTGGGATAGGCCACTTGACTTCTCTGATCCTCTAGCTGGCTGTAGAAGGAAGACCCCAACTCCTGGCTGCCGGGAGGACCACATGAGCTAAAGTCTGAGAAACCCGTGGCTCAGTCCTGGCTCACAACAAGCCTCAATAACGGTTACTTTTGTTTAAAGTCTCTAAAGTTATCTCACTTTTTCCCTCATGTTCCAAATACAAAGGATAACAAACTGTTTTGAACACTTTATGTGTATAAGGGTGACAAGCTTTTACTGCATCTTAAATTATACTCTATCCTCTTCTCTAGAATTGTCCAGTTCTCCAATCATCTACCACGCCTTCCATAGAATCACAGGAACACCTACAGTTAGTGTTTTCCTTTAATGTGTTAAAGATATTGACGCATATTCACCACAGGAAACAGGACAGTGGGAAAGGACAGGGCAGGGGAATGTCCTGGGGAGGAGTGCAGGTTGGGCCTGTTTCCTGGGAATTCTTGCTGTCGTGCGCGTGCTCTCAGAGCTGAGGTCCTCTGTACACACACACAGGTCTGTGTTCTGCTGCTGTCACTTACTGCTGGGACACGTTGCCATAACTCTTCACAAATCCACCTTGGGATGGATAATCATGAGAGATCCCAGCATCAGGACCATCCTATTAACTCAGGGCATCCCCATCTCCTGGATGCTGGTGACGCTGCTAACAAACGCGTCACCACCAGAAACAACTCTGCAGTTGCCATTGTGGTGCACGACACTGAATTTGGGGCTGTTTCCTTAGGATACTCTCATTCCTAGTGGCGTTGCAAGGTCACGAGTGTAAACTATACTTACAGGCTCTGGTTATAATCAGCCAATTGCTTTCCAGAAAGTGTGCACTGACTCTCAGCCTCGGCACCACTAAACCTCAGCCTCCCTCCCTTCCACTGTCTGGGGCTTGAGTTTCGTTTTTCTTAGGAAGCATATATGAAAAATGACCATGCATGGGAAGCTGAACTTTCTAATGCAAAAAGCAATGCAAGGGAACTCTGACCCACACAAAAAACACGAAGCCTCTGCAATACAAGAAATAATATTCAACCCACATCAAGTGGCACTACTGTGAGTTATTTTTAAAAGGTTTTCTGGGTCAAAAGGTCCCTTTCTCATGATTCAATATAGTAATGAATGAATATTGGCAATAACAACAGTTAGTACTCAGTAAATGTCAACTCTTCATAAGAGCCAGTGTCTAGAACCCTGAAACACTAACTCGTAAGGATACCCCTATGTTCACTGCAGCATTACTTACAATGGCCAAGGTATAAACACAACCTAAATGCCCCTTGATAAACGACTGAATAAAGAAGAGGCGGTCATATATCCAACGGAATAGTACTCGGCCATGAAAAAGAATGAAATCTTACCATTTGTGACAACATGGATACACCTATGTTAACTGAAATCAGTCAGAGAAAGACAAACACCACATGATCTCACTTACATGTGGAATCTAAAAAAACAAAACAAATGAATAAACAAAACAAAACAGGATAAGACCCACAGATACAGAGACCAAGCTGATGGTTGCCAAAGGGGAGGGGAATGGGTAAAATTTAACAGAACAAAAGGTAAGTAAGTTTAAAAAAAAAGAAAGAGAGAAAGAAAAAAGACCCAGGAATCTGAGCTCGGCGAGGCAGCACGGCTTCCCCAAAGTTGTGTGGCCTCTGGGTGGCAGTGCTGGGACCCCCCCACCCTCTACAGGGAGAGGGCAGGGGCTTCTTACACACTGATGGGTCCCCAGTGCCTGGAGCTGTGCCCAACACAGTGTGCCTAATAAACATTCACTGCGACTCCTGCTTCCAGCCCAGATGGAGTAACAGGGATCAGTTTTACCCCCTCGAACAACAACAGGAAAAGACAATGGTTTTCAAGACACTGGACGTCAGGCCACAAGTGGTCCCTGAGAGGACAGAAGCCAGCGAGGTGAGACCTACAGCCGCTTGGTCACTGCCTTGAGGGAGTTTTCAGGCCAAGACACAGATGGGGTATCTGGTGGGACCCAGAAAATTGCCTGGTTGAAGAGACAAGGGCTGAGAGTCCAGGGAAACTGAGGCAGCTAGACTCCAGAGGACAGCGTACCAGAAAAGAGCGAGCTGCCCAGAGACACCCCTGGAATCTAGAGGCCCTGAGTGTTCAGCAGGAAACTGACCATCACATGCCTGTGAGGACCGGGCAAGGTGGACCTGAGGGATTAGGGGCGCAGTGGCCAGAGCTCCTCCCCCTTCAGTGCCACAACTGCACAAAAGCTCAAAGTTCACAGGGCACTGGGAGTGGACCCAAAGCATCTTGCCTCAGTAGTGGAGGACTAAGCTCTGATCCTGCCCGACATCTTAGAAAACAGGACCACAAAGGACCAGACTGTTTCTAAGTAACCAAACTGCAGCACAAAATGAAGCTCAAAAAGGTTTATAGAAATACAAAAATATGCAGCTCCCAGCAAGGTAAAATTCACAATGTCAGGCATCCAATTAAAAAACCACCAGGCCTGCAAAGAATTAACAACATATGACATGTGATGAAAAGAGAAGCAGCCAATAAAAATCAACCGAGACCTGACACAGATGATGGAATTGAGACCATTGTTATCACCAACGCCCACGTGTTCAGAGAGTTACACAGATGCAATAGAGAAATAAAAAGGACCCAAGCTGATCTAGAGATGAAAATTAAATATCTGAGACGAAAAAAACAATACACCGGATGGGATTAACCTCAGATTAGACATTTCAGAAGAAAAGAACAATAAGTTTGAAAACAGCAACGGAAACGCTCCAAATGAACCTGAGAGAAAATCATCATCATCATCATCATCATATCATCAGTGAGCTGTAGGTCAAATTCAAGGTGTCAGACATACATATAGACCCAAAAGGAGGAGGTTTGGGGTGGAAAAAAATATTTGAAGGAATAATTGCCAAACTTGCCCCAAATTTAATGACATCTATAAACTCACAGATGCAAGAAGTTCAATGAGGGCCGGCCAAGTGGCGCGTTGGTTAAGAACTGGCTTCGGATGCCAGAGGGCCCCGGTTCGGATCCCACANGGGCAGCAGGGGCCATGGTGAAGCGGGCTGGGTCAGCACGTCCACGCTGCACCTGTGTGCTGTGAGGAGGACCCCAAGGAAAGCCACCAGAGCCACCGGCGTGGTGACACCCCCCGCTTGGGCTGAGTGACTGAGCCTGGCATTCCCCAGGGCATTTGGAAGATGTGTAGCCAGAGCAGTGCCCGGACTGGCAGGCAGGGGACAACACCTTACAGACCCTGTCCCCGGCAGGCCCTGAGTCAAAGCAGCTTTACTGCTCAGTCTTTTAAACAAAGAACCAAAATACTCATCATTTTCTTCAAACTGAATTTGGCCTTACAGAGCCATCTGCCTGGGAAAAAAACAATATAACAAACTGTGTGGCCCCCATCCGAGGGCAGCTCCAAGTACAACGGGCCATGTCGCCCCAGGCCACCCACACTGGCCCACTGGGGACATCGTCCTCCACCTCCTACATCTTCAGGTGAAGGGAAATTATCAAATTCCAGCAATTAAGGCGACTGAAAAGCGTTACCCGCCCCCAATGTGATATCACCCACTCCTGCTTTGCTTGATTTGTAAACTTAGGAAAAAGACAACTCTTAAGAGAACAATGCAAGGAATGGGACCAGGGCACCGGGCTATTGGGGTGATCTGGAAACCCCCAGAGCTGGGCACCATCCAAAGACCACCCCAGAGACATCCAGGAAGGCAGCTCTGGGGGCCAGTCTCAGGGGATTGTGCCGCAGGTGTGGTGGGAGGGGCTGGGCCCCATTTGTCTAGAGGGGCAGGGATCAGGCGGCTCTGAAACCCTGGGAGCCCCACCCGCTGACCCACCTGCCTGCCCACCTGCCTGCCCATCCTGACCAGGGCATCGCGTGTCTGTCTCCTTCGCGTTTAACCCTCCAGGGCCTCAGGGCCCAGGGCGGGGTCAGCCCTGCTCGCTCCCCCACTCCTGCGTACAGCACGTGACTTGTTCAGCTTCTTGCGGATGACGGAGGCCCCTCTGTCCCAGGAGCTCGCCCACCCC